CCTAAATAAGGAGAGGGAAAAGGGGATCTTTTGCTATGTTAATGAGGTGACTTTGGAAAGCCCTAGGTCACCTAAGGATGGTTCTTGGTTGCCAAGAGATCTGACTCTGTGATTAAAGTGTGAGACCTTTAGTCCCACCTCTGGACCTCCTGGGTGGGGAGTGGGACTTGAGAGTGAGTTCAACCACCAATGACCAAGAATGTAATCAACGGTGCTTATGTAATGAAGCTTCCATAAAAACTTGAAAGGACTGGGTTCCAAGAGCTTCTGGGTTGGTAAACAGGTGGATATTTGGGGGAGAGAGGCCTGCTCAGAGAGCAAGGAAGCTCTGCTCTCCTTCCCACACAACTTGCCCTAGGCATCCCTTCTATCCGGTTAAGACCATAACCAGGCTGATACTGTCAGAATTAAGTTGAATTGTAGAACATTTAGCTAGGGTCCAAGAATTTCTTGGTGGTATGTGAAAAAAACCCCACACGATGGAATTGGTACCAGAACATATTAGTCCAATCATTGAAGACACAGTGGAAACACTTTTCATCTCTGTTTTTCACTCTTCCCGTTAAGTTTGTTTCAGGGTCGCTGTTCTATAAAGAACTCTTTCACATTACGTATCCTTCATACTTACGTACTTAGGGAGTAGTCTATGTATTTGCAAAGTATTGGCCAGAAATGTGTACTCATTGTTTGGGAGCTGGGGGTGAGGACAAAGTGACTCAGATTTGTTGTATGCTCTTGAATTGCATACATTTTTTGTTAAGCTAGGAAGGCACACAAAACACTGTAACAAAGGTGGTAAGTAACAATCATCCCCAGCCTCCAAAACTATCTTTGGGAAGTTTCATCTCCAGTGGGAAATTGTTTATATTGATCAAAGAAAAAATCACTTCAATTTTTTAAATGCTCACATGCCCCACCTAGCTGTATTGTGACATACTGATGGGTTAGTACAGATGGGGCAAAGGTTCCTGACCTGAGCCTCTGGGATCCTGAGAACTGATCTCAACAGATTCTAAACTGAAAAATTGTCTACTGTGCTGTTACTGCTTTCAGCTTACTGTCCTGACTGACGATGGATTCTTTTATACTGGAGATGCAAAATGCTTCTCATGTTTCAGGTAACAAGAAATATGTTTTTCTCAGCTGAACATTATTCATTTTATTTCCTGCAATAAGAAGTACCCATTATGATGCTCTGATGCATGACTAAACTGGTAAATATCATTGGAATACTGTTTTCTAGGTTGTAACAAAAGCAACTGTGATCCAGATGCTCCAGAAAAGGTCTTCCTGTTAAGAACTAGGTAAAGTGGTTCCATCTCTCTATTCTTTAGATTGTGAAGGACAAATACTCTACTACATTGTTTGGTGGAACTTACATTTCAAGCTTATTTTCAATTCTGAGCTCTTACTTATGCTAAATTACTAGAAATAGTATTGTCATCTCATATGCACTGTACCTTGCTCATGCAGGTAGGGTGCACTGCTTTACTAATTTCTTCAAGGAAAATGTATTTGAGGGTAGGAGGCTTTATTAAAGCTTTGGGACTATAAATGAGTTTATATTTGATCAACACCACCACCCCACAAGCAAAAAAAGTCAAATTTATTATTACACATTTCTGATAAACAAAGTGGATAGTGATAAGCAAGTAAATTAGAAATGAAGCTCTAACATCAAAATGCCTTGAGTAGAATTGTGGCATTACCATTACTATGAATCATGGATGATTGTGTGACCTTGGGAAAGTTACTTCATGTCTCTGGGCTTCAGTTTCTTCATGAGTAAAATGAAGACAATATTAGCACCTCCTTCATAGGGTTTTTTGAGGGGGGATTACTCCACTAATTCATATAAATTGTTTAGAATAGACTAACAAAAAGTAAGTGTTCAATAACTGTTATTAATGTTATTTATAATATATTTAAAGGTCTTCCACCATTTCAGTTTAGAATTGTGTGGCTTAGCCATTGTCCTTTCTTTCTTTTTTTTTTTTGGTGCCTTCTTTTCTCAGCATCGCTGTCTTCACTCCCCTACAAAATTCTTATTTTTATTATTTTGTAATTTCTCATTTTGCTTTTCTTATGTGATTTAATATAGAGTGGTTTCATCATCACTTTTGAGACCTTAGCTATAGATGACTAATAACTTTTGGAGTTACTGCTCCAAGTGGCATGTTAAGGTATTTTCCTAGGATAGGACAAATTCCTCTCTAAAAGGAATACTAGAGCAACTGAGCACTACATACAATCATACTTGTCCTAAATGTACGTATGTATAGCATGCTCAGTTTATAGAATGTATTCTGACCCAACTTAGCTGCACACCTTTGAAGGTGGCCCTCTGATGTGTCATCACACTTTCATGAGGAGAATGACTTTTGCTCAAGGTCACTCGCTTGTGCAGAACAGGAGTTTTAACTAGACTCTTATTGCTCCCTAAAGCCAAAGCTCCTTCTACTGTGCCTAGCCAACTATTTGTGTGATTTCCTTTAATCATGAGAGCAATCTCACAAGGCTGGCACTATTTTTGCCACTCTTTACAAGTAAGGAAACTGAGGCTTAGAGAGATTGAGTTCATCAAGATCATGCAGCTGATAAATGTCAAAACCCAAATCAAACACTCTGCCTTTTGTAGATCCACTTTTTAACTCTCATCCCAAAATAAAGGGGATCAGAGAGAGAGAGTTGAGGGGGAGAGGGGTCCAGGTTAAATATATAGTTAAGATGATTTGTCCATGTAAAGCTACTTAGAACTGCTGTTAAAAGGGAAACAGTTCCCTAAAGTATTTCTCCAGGATCCCATCGGAATGCCAGCAATGCTGTCAAACTTAACTCATACTGAGTTAATAAATACTGAATAAAAGGAATACTGAATTAAAAGGTGTTTGCCTCATAGCATTTGCCTTCTTGTAGGTCCATTGGTGAAAATGAAATGTTCATGTTAAAACCAAGAGGGAGAAACTACTTATTTAGAGAGAAAAAAATATAAGAACTCTAGAATACTGTGAGTGTAATGTAAGGAGAACCAGAAACACAAGACTGGCAGCCTTTATCATAAAAATCACAGCGGAAGACGGAGCTTAGAGATTTCAGCATGAAAAGAAAAAGAATTCAAAGACTTGTGTGTGCACACGCGACTGTGCTCCCTCTTGTTTTATTATTTCTCGTGCCACCAACTCCCCTCATCCCCATCTAGCTGGTGACTCAAGCCTTCTGATGAAAGCGCAGTATGTGAGATTGCTAGTTGACATTCTCTTCCGGAGACTAGCCTCACACAGGGGTGACCCTGTGATGCACAGAAGGCTATTCAATGCCTTGGCGAAGTGGTTCTGGGACCAAGATTTTATTATGCTTCGTGGCTGAGAGCTGTGATCCCACATCCCGGATTTAGAGCCACTAAGGGCTTCGACAGCTCCACCCAGGTATTCTAGAGGAAAATATTCCTTCATGCTCTCTGTCTGATCTGAAAGCAACACAGCTTCCTAATGTTCCGCCTGGGAGGTGGTTTAATCTTTAGAAATTGCCGGAGAAGCCTGTCCATCTGCCGGCATGCCTGGCTTTTCTGAAACGGAAAAGAAGCTTGGCTGTTAGAGTAACTTGAAGATTTCTGTTTGTAACTTAAAGCCGCCGCTTAATTCAAAATAAAAAAGACACACGCTCTGGCTTTTGCAGACATTGGGAAAATCTGTGTGACGAAGTATGGATCTAGAAATTCCTGATTTAATTTCCCCCGGGAAAGAGTAAATATTTTCTATTTGCAACTGGGCAGTCGCCCCAAGTGATCTGCCTGCAAAAGGTGTGCGCGAGAAGGGCCCGTGGGGAGTGGGGGGTAGAAGGAGGATTTAGCCTAATGAGTTGCTCCCTCCACCCCGCCAATCAGTAGCCGTACATTTTAACTTCTCGGAGGCAAGTTCCCACCCTAGCTACCTCCTCCAGCCGCTCCCTCCCTCTTTTGCTCCTCTCCCCCCAACTTGGACCCAAAGTGAGAGTCCCTGGCGAGGTCCGTACCCCTCACCTCCCTGCCCTACTATTCCTTTTACAGAAGAAGCAGGCTGCGATAACACGGCCGAAAAGTCCCTGAGGAGTGAGCCAGTGAACAGGCGTCTGGGGGCAAACGGGGGGCAATCTGAACCGCGGCGAAGCTGCGTGGGCAGTGTGAAGTGAGATAGGTCTGAACGTAGCTCTGGTAACGACACAGCAAGTGGCGGTCTCGGAGGCCCTACCGAGAGCCGGCTGCTTCTGGGTCCGCTTCCTATTGGCGGGCGTGGCCCCGGGGCGGAGCCACTCAAATGCCCCGCCCACTTGGGGGCTCCGGGACGCGGCGCGCGCGACTTCCCAGAGGAGTTCCAGATCCCGCCTCAGCCTGGGACTTGGTCCTGCAGCGCCTCTAGGCTGCGGATCCCGCTCCTACCACCTGCGCTTGGCTGTACCTCCTGCGAAGCGGGGAGCTGCGAGGAGAGAGGGAGGGCGAAGGGAGGAGGAGAGCGGCAGCTTACACACGCCTTCCAGTCCCTCCACTCAGAGCAGCCCAGAGACCGCCGCCGCCGCCGCCGCTGCCACCTGAGGAGACCGCCTGGACCTGTCGCCCCTCGGTCGCCAGCCCCGGCAGTTCTTTCCTAACACCGGGCTTTTTATGCACACTGCCACTACCATTATTATTATTCCAAGAGAAGGAAAACAACAGACCCGCTCAAAAGAACCACGTATACCTTTCCGAATTGCTCAAGTGTCTCCCGGAAAGAGAGGGTCGCCGGCCCCGGGAGGAGCAGCCAAAGGACCCGAGGGCGGGTGTGGAAGGGGAGGCGGGAGGAGTTGGGCCACTGCGTGGTGGGAAGTTGCGGGCGGCGGGGACGGGAAGGTGCAGCGCCACAGCCCAGAGGGCGGTGTGTCAGGGAGAAGCCTCTGCCCCCAGCGTCCGGAGCGCGAGCGCGCGGGGCCGGGGACGACGCCCCCTCCTGCGGCGCGGACTCTGTCGGTGGTCCCCGAGGAGGAGGAACATGGCTTCGAAGGCGGCCCCCTCCTGCCGTCTGGTCTTCTGCCTCTTGATCTCCGCTGCTGTCCTTAGGGCAGGTAAGAACAGGGGCCTCGGAGCAGCCCCAGGGCGGCCTGGACCGGGGGGCAGCTTCCTAGGTCCCGGGCCCGGGCCTCGGGCCCCCCACCCCGGTGGCGGCGCGCCCAGGAGGATGGGGGAGGTAAGGGACCGGCGGTGCGGGCAAGAGCTGGCCCTGGGTTCCCTCACCTGTGCCGCATGTTTGAGTTCGATCGCTTGGCTCAAGTTGGGGCAGCGACTGGGGGCACTGGATAAATCTCCAGGAAGTTTGGGTGCGGCCGGGGTCGGGGCTTCAGGGGGCCCGCAGGCAAGATTCGTCTGGTTCTCTCCCCTTCCCCCATGCGGCTCCCGCCTGGGTGGCGAGCTCTCGCCCTCTGACAACCCCTCGGGTATCAAAGTCCACGTCACTGCGCTCTGGGCAGTTTTCCTTTCGCCTAGCTCTCAGAGGCAGTAACTCGCGCTTTTTCGTGATAAATCCCCTGGTAACTTCCCCTGGGTGAGAGGTGAAGAAAGGAAGGGAGGGCTTTCCTCTTTGGAACCGCTGAAAAGCTCCGGCCGCGGCTCGGAAGCCCCTTCGTCCATTGTCTGGGTGGGTTGTGAGGGTGGGGGTGACGGCGGGCAAAGGACGCAGCCTGGACTGGAGTCCACAGCCAGGTCTGTGCGCCCTTAGGGGGCTGAGGACTGGTCAGGACCCGTGATCCGACCTCAGTTTTCAGTTCTGTACTGAGACTCATAAGGGGGAAAAAAAACACCAACCAACAACTAATATATCTCGCCTGGGAATCCCTTTCCTCACCCTTGGGGACGTCCCCTGGCGTTGTCATCCTCGAGACCCGCTGGGTGGCTGACAGGAGTTGATCCTCCCAGGGCGTTCCGCGTGCTCGCAGTCGCTTGACAGAGCAGCAGGTTAATTTTTCCCTTGACTTGAGGATTTGGGGGGACATTCTTTTCTCCCTTTGAAGTTTTGATCTGTAGCCCCTCCTAGACAGTTGAAGATAAAACTACTTCCTGTTATTCTGGCTTCTGTTTGTCCTCTTGCTCCTTGCTTTAGTTTTTATCAAAGGAAAACTCACTTGCTTTTTGCATCTTTTATTTCTGCACATACCTTGAGTTGTTAGCAGGCTCAGGTCAAAGCAGAGGTTTGAAAGCCTCTGGATCTCTCCCAGGAAAGCGGGGAAGAGTGAGGCTGGGGGTTAGAGCCTGAAGATCCCTGGTGTTGGTGAACTGCCGCCGCTGTGTGTGTTAGTGGTGGTGGTACGCGGGAAGTGGGTGCCCTCCCCAGATCGGGTCTCTTTTAAAGTTACATTTCTAGTTGAAGCAATGAGCTCACCTGCTGTTCTGAGGAAGAGAAAGAGGGGTCTGTGACAGATCGCCGGTTCTGGGGCTGCGAGTGTGAAGCCAGAGTTGAACCGGATTGAAAGCTGGTGGGGTGGGGCGAGAACACCCGAGAGGGAGGATGGGGAGACCCCCTTGGATCAGGCACTGTACAGATCTCACTTTTTCCAGATTCCAGTGTCCGGTGTGGGAAGGAAGGGCACTCACTCGGGAGCCGAGGGGAGAGGAGGGAGTGTGAGGCTGCTGTAGTTTGTAAAATGCAAAGATCCACACGCCTACAGTTGGTTTTAACCCTCTCGCCACCTTGAGAATGTAGTCTCACCTACACCCCCCCCCCCACCCCCCACCCCCACCCCCGGACCACATGCACACGCCCAGTTTCCTTTTCAGTGCTGGAATTTCAGTTGGGCCACCTCGGAGGACAGGTTTTTCCGCACTTGTAACTGCTATAAAGGGAGAGGTTCCTCTTTCGGATCTTGGGGCGACTCTTTTGGCGCAGCAAGCTCGCGTTTCTCTCCGGCACCCAACTGCGCGCTTCCAGCCAGCCCGGGAGGGCTCCGTTACCGCTGCCTACCCGCCACTGATCTGCGGGTCCGAAGGCTCCGATGCTCAGATCGGTGCTTTCCTTGAATTTACCCGGCTGACATATGCTCCAGATTCTCCGTACGGCATGTGTGTTTTGAAAGAAAGGATTATGACACTGAAACCGCCATGTCCAGACTCTGGACGCCAGTCTAGGACGGCAAGTGCGCCTCCTTCGGATCCCTCAGCACAGCCGAGCCCAGTGGGGATGCAGTGCCAGTAGCTGGCTTAGAAGGGACTTACTGCCTGCCCCGCGTGCAGCTCTTCATTTCCGGAGCCGTTTTGACAGTGTGTTTAGAAACCTAGAGTTTGTGAAACTGCCTCTGCAGGTCTTCCCGCCTATAGTCACTATACAGCAGTGAAATCAATATATTGTAGGCATGGTATGCAGTCTGTTTTGAAGGGAGGAGGAGGATTATCTATGAACCACGGAAAATGAATTCGGCGATAAAGGCGATGAAGTATGTGTTCAGCATCTGAGGGAGCAAGAATCTCATTATTCTCGTAGAAAGAGCGTCAGCCTGTGGTGACATTTTGTATTGCTTTTAAAAAGGCTTTCCTTGGTTATTTACAGGAAGGTGGGGTGCTGTAATTAACTATCTCTTCTCTTGGGTCGTCTGTGTGCACTCCTCTCTGCAATGTTTCTGAATTGCTCACTGATACAGGTTCATTCCAAAACATAAGCAACCTTGAAGCTGCCCACCCAACCCCCCACCCCCCGTTGAAATACTATGTTCGGAATGCATCTGTTTATCTCAAGAGGGCTTGGGAAAAACATCAAATAATGTCCTTTCAGACTACCTGATGTGGGACTATTAAAATTTATAATTTCAAAACTGCAAACTGCTTAGAAGCCAGTAATATTTCTGTTTCCTTGATGATTTATTTAATCCAATAGCAATTTATAATCTAATGGGGCACTATTTAAAGTAAACTGCTTTTCTAGGTTTGTTTCAGGACTATTTACCTTCAGGCACTTGAGCAAGTCATTTCACCATCCTTGGGCTTCAGTATCCACATATATGAGGACAAGGGTGGACTGAGACTCTGCTGAGAGCTCTGCCAGCTCAGAATTCTGTTTCTAATGACCTAAGGTAAAAAGCTCATTTAGGCAAGGCAGAGTCATTTTCCAATTGTATTTTTCTAATGCTTTCAGACAGTCTGGACAGACACAATTCCTATAAATCCTATTACCATAAAAATGTGAGTGGCTCCCATTTGCTACTTTCCCATCTTTTTTCCTTCTTTTTAAACTCAAATCTTGTGCTTACTCCTCTGGGCCTGAATCAGACTGTTAAAAATTGTATAATAGAATTAGTCTCCCATTCTCCTGGTAAAAGGGATCCCAGCAGTCAGAAAAGGCTTTGGATTGTAAAAAAAAAAAAAAACAAAACCAAAAAACAGAAAAATCCTTTACTGCAGCCCATCCCTTCTGGAAGACTGGCTGTATTTAAACTTCGTATAGTTCCTAGAATAAAACGTAAGCCATGGTTTATGCTAATATGTTCAGAGTCTTATATGCACACATTAAAAATGCTCCTAAACAAACTTGATTTGCTTCATAGTTGTATGTACAATACAGAAGGAAATAGAATATAACAATGCTTTTGTGTCATTTTTGAAATCTGTAGAAATCCAAAATATTTTATGACTAGATTCTAAACTTTTTCTTACTTTTTAGAAAATCTAAATTAGCTTGTCTTTAAAAATAGAAATTTAGAAGAAATGCTTCTCTATTGTTGACTTATTAAAAAGAAAAAAAATCAACAAAAACCTACTTGAAGACTCCTAAAAGTTAACAAAAAATTCTTTATGTTGGTATTAGTACTCATGTGTTCAGTTTGTAGCTATGCTGCATAAGAATTTTGAAACCATGAGGAAGTAATTTTTCTACTCCTTTTTATTTCCCATCTGTAAAATTATCTCCCTGTGTAGTGCATCATTCTGATTTTGGTGAGATCAGTAACTCCCTTGCTCAGCATTTTGAATTTTTCAAGTAAAACATGCCATATTAAGACTTTTATTATATCCTTAATAGAGTAACACTTTTAAATTTATTCCACTTAATTATCACTCTGATCTTTTTATTAAAAGCAGGCAAAAATGTTTTCTTTTTTTCCCCTTTTTGCACTCAAGTTTTCATTACACTAAATATAGGCCTTTGTAAAACCAGCACTAAGTTGTCAGCATTACTTAGTGTAAGATGGCAGCTTTTTGTCATATAATATTTTAAATGCTTTATAATTACCTTGTTTTATATTCCCAAACACACCTCTTTTTGTTCTAGTCATCTGTTTCACATAAAACGTCATCAAAGAGTTCTAGCTCTCTGGAACAGTTCACTCAAGTAGACACATGCAATGTGTATCCCAAATATACAGGAGAGCAACATAGGTGCAGCTATGATAAAAGAGTAACTCTGTGCCTGTGTGTATACACAGAAACTTTAATTTCCCTCAAAGTGTTAATTTTATTCTTAACTGTTAGATTTTCACAAAGGCCCATTTTATTTCTCACACATGATTTTATGTAGCATATTAAGAATTGAGCTAACTTATTGGAATACTAAAGAAAATTTTCTTGGGAGTCATAAGTGATGAATTAATGTTTATTTGATTATTACTTTTGGATATCAGCTCCTTTTGATTTTCAATACAGATTGAAAAAGATGGGAAAAATGTCCATTTATATTTTTCATTACTTTTTTATTAGGGCAGAAGTTTCCTTTTCCTGTGGAGAACACAGCCAAGACTAAAATATATCTAAAAAAAGGATATTATCGGCTTTTGATAAGGGTAAATCCTACAGTTATTACAAGTATCCCTATAGTGTACAAAATATCATATATTTGTAGTTACTGATATTTTCATCCGGCTAATTTCTCTGTTTAAATAACAAAATTTATGTTCTCTCCCCTAAACATATTAGACAGAATACCATATATATTTCAGCTAGGACTAGTTCCAAATGTGCTGTAGTATTCAGTAATTGTTTTATGGTAACCTATTATCAGATCCCATTATTGTAGTGTATGTTCCAAGAATGAAATTAGCTTTTAGTGCTTCCTCTTTTATTTATCCATTCAGTTCTCAATTATCCATTC